ACTACTACTATTGCTGTTACTATTACTACTACTATTGCTGTTACTATTACTATTACTATTACTATTACTATTACTATTACTATTACTACTACTACTACTACTACTACTACTACTACTACTCCTACTACTCCTCCTCCTCCTCCTCCTCCTCCTACTACTACTACTACTACTACTCCTACTCCTTGTACTACTACTACTACTACTACTACTACTACTACTACTGCTACTGCCATTGCTACTACCAGCACTACTTACGCAGACCCTTCCAAAAAGACACAAGCCAGCCTGGGCCTTCAGAATCTGGCAGTCTGCCAATCCGCTCGAACCCCTTACGTAGGGCCTAGGGTTTAGGGTTTAGGGTTTAGGGGTTGTGGATCTCTGTCAGTTGTGGGTGCGGCTTTTCTGCTGTGGGAGCAGAGAGAGTCTTTTCTGTGCGGGTGCCTGGGGCGTTTCCTTTCCGTCCACTTGGCACCCCTGCACCCGCAGCAACAATGCACCCACCACACAAACCGGTAAAGGATGCGGCGCGTTGTTTTTGCCTGCGGGCGTGCCGAGTTCACTCATTCCCGCTCTGTCCCAAACGCCAATTCATACGTAGCTTAAAGCTAAGACCTTCAAGCTCCATGACATTTTTGGCTTAAAGTGAGGAAACCCAATCCCACCGACCGGGTCTCCTGGACCCTATCGATTCTAGGGCCATCTTTGTATCAGGGCTTAGACGTCACTGTTCAAGACCACCTTCTCGGATTCGGGTTGACAAATCGTGAGAGCAGGTCACGGTTTAGGGTTTAGGGTTTAGGGTTTAGGGTTTAGGGTTCAGATGAGGACTCCAAGCCCCAAACCCTGAACCCCAATCCACTCAACATCCCAAAACTGAAGACCTGCGCCCACAAAACACCCCTAACACCATTTCTTGGAAAGCCAAGCCTGGAAACACAAACACTCAAAACAAGTAATGGGGCAAAAGCATGCGATAATCGCGATGACAATTGCAACAAATCCTGTACCCTAAAGCCATGTAATTGCTCTATCTGTATGTGCTTATTTGCTCAAATGTTTTTGTGTACGTTTACATGGCGAAACCACTGAACCCTAAATCAAACCCAAAACCCTACACTCTAACCTGAAAACCTGCAAAAGTGCTCGCCGAGCCTTGCTTCTGAGAGCCGTCACCCGCCCGGCATTGCGGAAGCCCTGCAGCTTGGAGGCACATTTCGCCACGGCCGGCCGCAAGATGGACCTGTGGGGCAGTCGGTTTCAGGGCGAAGGCTTAACCCCAAACCTCACACCCTGAACCCTAAACCCAAATCCTACTGCCCCGAAACCCCCCCATCATTTGTCTCCGCAAAGTACTACACGTTCGAGTTACTTTAAGTGGTCATGCAATCTGGACCTCCCCATGGGCGGTTCTGCACGGTCTTCAGCACATATTCAATAGGCACATGCTTTTGTCCAGGCTGCCGCTGATCACGATTGATGACGGTCATCCTTGTTCGTACGAGCGTTGACGTCCAAAACCCCGATGCTTAGGCCCTACACCCTGAGACCCCGAACCCTAAACTCTCCCTAAACTCTCCTTCAGTCCCCTTAACGGAAGCCTTCAAAAATTCCCAAACCCTAACCCCTAAACCTCTGAACCCTTAACCCTAAACCTTGGAGCCCCACAATTCCTTTCAGGGCTCCTTTAAAGGTTCCTAGGTTTAGGCTTCAGGGCTTCTTTAAGTGGAAACCCTCAAAGGTTCCTTGTAACCCTAAACTCCCAAACCCTAAACCCTAAACCCTAAACCTCCTAAACCCTAAACCCTAAACCCTAAAACTCCTAAACCCTAAACCCTAAAACTCCTAAAGTCCGGAACCCAGCAAAGGCCTCTCGGCCACCTCTGCCGCAGCGGCTGCGGACCTGCGCGGAGCCTTCGAAAGTCGACCCTCGCCATAGGCCTGGAAGTCTCCGGCATTTAAGGAGTTTGGGGTTTAGGAGTTTTAAGTTTTAGGGTTTGGGGTTTAGGAGTTCTAGGGTTTAGAGTTTGGGGTTTAGGAGTTCTAGGGTTCAGGGTTTAGGGTAAGGCTGTTGGGCTGGTTTCGGGTGTATTGTAGAGCCTTAGCCTCTGAAGTTTAGGGTTTTGGGTAGATCAGGGCTTGTGGCTTTACGATTTCGGGTTTCGCTTAGAGGTTTAAGCTATCAAGTTAGGGTTAAGGAATTTGGGATATAGTTTCGAGTTGTGGTTTGGGATTAACGGCTTGGGCGGTAGGGTTCTTCTAGATTGTCCTGGGTTTGAGGGCTTTCAGGTGAGGGGTTTGCTGTTTCTCGCACTGGTCGTGCGCACCGCAGTACGTATTCAGGCTCAGCCCCGAAAGCTAACACAAAGAATGCACATGCAAACTCAACAGCTTTTAGTATGACGTCACCCCTGGACTTCAAGCCCTACAACACATCTTGATCGCGGCGTCTGGAGCCACGACAGCCGGCGCCTTCAAATCGCCCAAAACCTTGCACCACCCTAGTACCCTCAGGGTACCCTTATGATAACCTTCCAGAAACCCCTATCATCCCCCTGAAAGGTCCATTGTAGTACCCGTATGATAGCCGTTAATTATAAGAACCCTATCATCACCTGAATCACCTGAAAGTACCCTTGTAGTACCCTTATAATAACCTTACAGAAACCTTATAATCACCTGACAGTACTTGCAGTACCCTTATAGAACCCCTACAATGCACTTTTCGGCTAGTACCCTTCTCCAAACCCTACGACCAACCACCTAAGAAGCGTAAATCCTAAATGCTCATTGCTATGGTTTAGTTTAGGGTTTAGGGTTCAGGGCTCAGCGTTTAGGCTTAGAGTTTCGGATTTAGGGTTCCTGCCTGTAGCTGCTCGAGCTGCGGCAAACGCTCTGGGTTCCGCACGGCCTTCCCCACCTCCGACTTTACTGGCTGGGGGCTTCTTGCAGGCCTTGCGAGGTTTATAGGGGCTTAGTAAGGCCGTTTAAGTTTTAGGGCCGCTTTTAGGCGTTCGGGCTGAGGGATCTCGAAGTCCTCAGTGAAAACCAAAACGAAAACCTTGGTGAATCCCCTTGACACCCACACCCTTCCCCCCTTACCCTAAACCCTAAACGCCTCCAGCGCGATGCGAAAGATCAGCCCCAGGCGCTTGCCGCAGGGGGCGCGGCCATCCTCCGGCGTGGTCGCCGCCTCGCCGAAGGTGTGGGGGGCATGAAGGCCCGGCTTAGGCTTTAGGGTTTAGGG